GGCTGCTTCAGTAGGTCTGACTCAAAGCCTGACACTCTAGAAATAAATATGATTTATTTTCCTAGAGCTGAAGAGGTTTCAGAGATCTCAGGATTTAAAAAAGAAGAGACAACGCATTTTGAAATAAGTAAGTGGAGAGGTAGGTCAAGTTGGTAGGAAAACTGTAGTGCCATAACTGTAAAAGCAATGTCTTTGTATCCAGGATTATCTGTGAGAAGTGTGTCCCCAGCATGCCCTAGCTGAAGTGAACATCCACACTCCTGGTACAGATTCAGAGACTTGTAAGATCATAAATAAACCTGGAGGTCTAATCATTAGTTAGCACATAACACAGACAATGATGTAATCTCCAGCAATTTTGCTTAGAATTTGTATTTCTTAGTTTAAAAAAAAATATATATTTTAAGTTTCTATAGTAGGAAACCCATATCAGCCTTTGGATAGATGTTCTAAAGCGTAATTGTTAGTGAGCCAGAATAGTCCAGATCTTAGAAATTTTTTAGACCTGGCTTCTACTTCTGGTGACTTTATCTCATTACACCTTTGTCAACTTGCTTGAAAACCCTTCTGTCATCCCATCCTCCCTCCAACCCTGCCAAGTATGTTCAGGAACTGAGACACTCCACAGTTTCTCTTTGGTACTAAAGAGACTGAGCTTTGAGAGCTCTTTTTAGACATACTTTTCCATTTCTTTGATCATTTTTACAGTTTATCCAAACTCTTTCCACTCAATTAGTGGTGTTCTTGAAGTGTCTTCCAGAAATAGCCATACCAATCTCAAATAAATATTCTCTCTCCTATTTAAGTTGGTCCTATTTTCTCATTCAAGAACTACATTAGTACTTTTGACAGCAGTGTTACACTGTGAGGTCGTTTCCACCACAACTCCCAAACCCTTTTGAGTCGCTGCTTTCCAGACCAGTATTTCCCATCCTGAATGTACAATATTAATTTTTTTCTTAGATGTTTGTCCATAATTTTTTCATTCTTAGAATGCGTGTTGTTTTCCTATGGGTAGTTTATCAATTAACACATATCCTCCAGACATTTGTCTTCATCCTTATTTCCCACTTATGGGCCACACATGGATTTCCCTTCTTCCATGAAGAAAACTGTGCCTTGCAGCACTTTGTAGAGATAGTCCAGATCTCTCATTGGTCTTGCGAAGATACCCAAGACTGCTCCAACATCTTTCTTCCATATGGTACACGATGTCTGAGTCTGTGATGCCAGGTTTTTCCACACACAGACAAGAATAATGCAATCAATCTTATTCTTATTTTCTATTTCCTCATTTCTAAAAGGGAACAT